GAGCCAGCTGGTGTTCCATATATGGGCATGTGCTCCTATAGCAACGGCCCAGCAACTGTAGAACAGGCAGACTGAGCAGTCTGCCTGTTCTGCCCATCGACTGTATATAAAAATGGACGTAGTATCCGTGACGTCACCCGTTTGTTTCTGAAGAGCAGTTTTGAAACCCGAATTGGGAGGAGCTGGCTGTCGCCATCTTGGCACCGCGTCACGGTGCGTCACTCCCGGATAACCATGAATGGGCAAAGAGGCGGGTCGTGGGTGGAGCTGAGGTGACGTGTTGCTGAAACCACTCCCGCCTAGCTCGACTTAACCAAGTTAGCTCATGCTAAGGAGCTAATGCTATATGCTACTCTGCATTAGCAGAGGTAGCTTCTAAACTCCCAGTGCTGTACAGTGGAGGAACCATTACCAGTTTATGGTTATTACCAGCTCACAGTCAAGGTAAGACACCGGAAAATATTAAAATAACTCACATATCTGTTATTGACATTATACTTAACAAGGTTTTAAATGCTTTTAAATATATAAATGTGGTAACGTTATTTTGCAACACTAACGTTAGATTTTGTTGAGACCAACGTTAACAGTTAACTATGAATCAGTTATTAATTACGTTAACGTTACAGCTCAAACGAACAATTTGAAGCAAATCAATTAACCCTTTTACATAACGTTAGTTATGAGTCATTTTTATTTAGATGTCACCTAAGTATTTTACTTGTAATAAACGTAATAAGCTAGTGGTAGAGTCCTTAGTTACATGATGGAAGCTGCATAACTTGTAAAACGTTAGCCATGGCTGCTTTCACGTTAATTAATTACCCACACCGCTATTTTGAGTAATGATGCTGCTGTCGGCAGGGCTGTGTGGGATTATTGGACACTTGAGAGAGAAAGGTACTTGTTAAAAGACTCTTGTTGAGGATCTGATGCCTCCACATCTCCTACTCAAAGCTTAAACTGCAAGTAACGTTACTAGGACAACTTGGCTACATGACATTTGACAGCTGATATAAAATTTTCTGTCTTAAGAGGACAACACAAAAACATTTAAAGACTGTCTCCCTTGTTCCATTTCTCCCACTTATGTGACATAGTAGTGCTGTCAACCTTAAAACACTGAGGCATCTTTTAGAAGAGCATCTAAAAAAATTAGAATACTGAGGAAAAGTTCATTGTGAGCATCAGAACCAGACAGAGATTACAGGCGTCAGAAACCTTTGCAGGTCACATTTCTGTATAATTTATAATACAGAAATGTATTTAGGCTATTCTAAAATTTTTATACATTTTGAGATACTGGAGTTTTTATTTCCATGAGCTGTAAACCATAATCATCAAGATGAAAACAAAAAGGGTTTGAAATGCTTCACTTTGTGTAATGAACCTAGAATATATCAAAGATTCACTTTTTGAATTAAATTACATCACTTCTCCACAATATTCTATTTATTAAAGTCTCATCTGTATTGTTTACTTTATATTATTTATATTTCATCACCTGAAGCATTTATTACACATTTTCCTCCTAGAGTCACACTGTGGATCAGATGTCCCACCTGGTGCCAGAGAGCTGCAGAGACCTGGAAGCCTTGTTATTGTCGTGGAAGTCTGTATCTGTTGGCGTGGACTGACGTGGAAAAGCGTTCTCGCCTTCTGTTTATTTTGAGTTTTAAATATTCTCCATATTTGTGTTATAGGTCCATTTAAAAAAAGATATGGTTTATGGTTCACATTGTAATAAATTCTATATATATTAGCACTCCCTGTCTTTACTACTTACTGAAAAGCTGATCGTATCCCTCAGATGCATGAAACATTAAAGCTGAACTCTTGCTAAAGAACATCAGTCTAGTATAAAAGTGAAAATACTACCAACATGTTTCACATGAAATGTTGAAAAGTAATTATGCACTGTATTTCTGTGTGTTTTTACTTTCTACCTTATACTTTAAGATAAATAAGGAGCCATACACCCAGTACCCATAGACTGTATAACAGAGCCTGAAGTTCCTGAAGAGTGCCTTGTTTGCTGCTCTGATATCTCTGAAGTCTAGTTTAAACACAGAATAATGTGGGCACATCCAAACCATCCTGTGGGTAAGTGCTGAAACAAAAAATGATATGCACAGATTAATTATGAATCCCACTAGGTGGTTTTTATTGTGACCTTGCAAACTCTGAGGTGTCTCTGATCAAATGTACTTTTGCATTCTATACAATGTAAGCCACACAAGACCTTCTCAGAGGTCGCAGGAAATGACACCTCGTACAGGGCTTCAAAACTATTCAGTGTTCAGATAATTCTTTTTCACAACAGAGTAACTCAGAGTCACATGTGTCTCTTAAAGAAATGTAAAAATAAAACAGTATATAACATCAACCTTTAATTTTTTACTCTAACACATATGCAAAATGTTAACCTATAAATACCATAATAATATTTTCATTTACAGCTGTTAACTATAACATATTGTTGAGTTTAGATCTCACTATTTCCAATTAACATAGGAAACTGATGATCAATGAAGAATGTGATTTTATCTAAAGTATAATTAGTGAGATAAATTTTATAACAAGGTATTCCTATTACTAAACCATAATAACCATCCATAATATTAAGCTCTTGTCTTGCACTCATGAAAACATCAATATTAATAGGTTACAAATGTAAAAGTAGTTTTGTATGACTTGAAATGTGTTGAAAGAGTTATTATAATGATAGAATCTGTTGATAAGAACCCAGTGTCATAATTTCACATCAGTAGTGTTCAGGTGTTGTGAGTAAAAAGAAAAGGCTGCACAAAACAGGAGCTGAAGAGCTGGAAGCTGGAGCTGTTATCTCCTGTAGAGCTGGACACAGCAAATCACATCTGGATTGTTCTGTAATCAGCTCCTCTAGTACCTGTAAAGACAACAATGGGTAGACAGTTAAGCAGCTTCTTCCAAAGTGCCATAAAGCTACTGAACTCTGAGATTGCCTCAGCATGATAACCATTCTGGCATGTCACAGTAATTAGAGGTGGCAATGTGAAATACACTGTTTACTAATATGTGTGATATATGGTTTACTGCTAGACACTGCAATAATAATCCATGCTGCTAGACACCTGTTGACTACTCAAGTCAGATCTTATTGAATGTTTATTATAAGGATCTTATTTTATATTTCTTATTGAACTGTACTACCTTTTTGGCCAAATTCTAATCCACCAAACAAACTCAGAGGTGGCTCTCACACACCTAATTTCTCACTTTAACTAAACCATTGCCTTAGTTACAGCCCAGATACCTGTCTGCAGGTATATTGCTCATTATATGCTGACAAAAAAGGTCTGTCTCTACAAACATCTGTTCTGCCGAATAATGCATCCACCTCTTAAGCTCCCTATCAGAAATGTTGCTGATCAAATGCAGTTATCACCTCAGACTGTTTGCTGAATCACAAGGAATGCTACATCTACTAAGTGTAATAACTTATTGATGACTCTAAACATCCTTCAATATGAACTTTGAATCAGTCATCCCCACTGATGAACCCCACAAAGAATATATTATATTGTTTTTAAGTGTACAGCTCTCCTCGGCGGTCAAGCAGAACCCTGCAGCCGCTCCCACCTCGGCTCTCTGCTTTTAAACCCTTCGTGTCCATCGGGATCAGTTGCAGCCACTTATAATAGTATCTAACTAGTATCTAACTGAACAGTGACTCTGTTACAGTACGTAACCTTAGCCAAATCTAACATTGCCCGTTTGTAAAGTGAACATAACATCAGCTCACAGAGCTGAGCCAGAGACATTTAGCTGAGCCACACAGATGCCTTTTCTTCAAAGCATTATCACCCTAATGTCTAACACTAAGGTTAATCTAATACATTTGGCATCTCTCTTCTTGCAGACTTGTCTTTGATTCCTTAAAAGCTGCGGTTAGAACACACTAACTCCCGTTAACTTAGCATTGTTAGCAGCTTGGGGCTGCTCGTATCTGGCTAATTAGCGTAACGAGCTAAGCTAACAACCTATATGCCGACAGCGATACCTGTTAAATATTGTTAACACATAAATAAAATTATGACATGGAATGGAACATGGACTTCCTGGAGGTTCTCTCTCCAATAAATCACACAGCCGGCCATTGTTCATCCGGTATCTGCATGTAGAAATGTCCAAACGGCTCCAACAGGCTGTGCCTCAGAGCTCAGTGTAGCTGAGTGAGGCTAACAGACGGCCGACCGAGTGCTAGCAGTGACAGGAGCCATAGACACCTGTCACTCAAAGTGGCCATGCCCCTATTAATGCAGAACTTTAAGGCTTAATATATTTTAAACAGGTGATACAGGTTATAAAAAAATTCACCCCCCTCACAGTTGTCATGAGGGGCAAAATTATATATACACTAAAACCATCTTTTGCACCAGGCTGTAAACACGTTTTATTCTGCTGTAAAGTTGGGCATTTTAACATGGGGGTCAATAGGAATTGACTCCCTTTTGGAGCCAGCCTCAAGTGGCTGCTTGATGAATTGCAGGTTTTCGGTCTTCCCGGGAAAGCTTCAGCCCAGAGACCAGAAGTTTGCCGCTTAGTTCTGCCCAGCAACAACAGCCTGGTAACATGCTTCAGATCTTGGCCAATCAGAAGACAGTGGGCTTTGAGAAGGGGGGGCCTTAAAGAGACAGGAGCATTTGCAGCTTGTTTCACACAGAGGCTGAAATGGAGCCCTACATGAAGACTCAGTATAAGAAAAGAAAATATTTTTTTGAATATTGAATCATGCAAAGCTGCCATACAGGAGTCGCAGAACTACAATATAGGGCTGGAAAAGAAGTTTAATAGGTCTCCTTTAATGAGAGGATGATGTGCATCAAGTTATTGCATGGGACATTATATAGCAGCAGTATGATATAGCTGTTTTATCCAACTTTTTTGTATAGTGTGGGTATAAGCTCTTTCATGTCTGTTGCTTTAATGTGGTCCTTTTGATGATGTTTGGACTGCAGGAGTCCAGGTGGAACTACCTATTTTCTTTCCTGGCATTGCCGGCAATGCTGCAGCTGTGTGTGCTGCCCTTCCTCCCAGAGAGTCCTCGCTACTTACTGATGGAAAAGAGGGATGAGGCTGGAGCAGAGAAGGGTATGTATTGCATACACTAACAGAATCACGTGCCATCATTCTCACTCTAGTACATCTAGAAAATGCATACAGGCTACACTTTAATACCTCAGATAAATTTGTGCTTGTTATCTTTTAAGAGCGACCTCTGGTCTACACCAATCACATGCACACACAACCGTTTGTGTAATGTCACTAAAACATTACATATATTACCATAGCATATCTGCAGGGGATTGATGGAATTGTTTACCAAGACCAGAGACTCATTGATTACTTTCTCATTGCTGAGATTTGTGGCTTTTACATTATTTAACAATTGCTTTGGCTCAGTTTTTACAACAGAGCTTCAATATGAAAAAATCTTATAGGATAAGTTCACTGTCATTCAGGTTTTAAAAAAAACAATGGTCAGATGCCCATTTGGATTGGCCTCCGATATTCAGTAAAAATATGTGATCAAGAGATAATGTGTTCTAGTTGGCAATCAAAAAAATTATATGTATAAGTATAATCCAAGTCTCATTTATTTAGTGGTATGCTCAATAATTACAACAAAACTTAAATAGATTCTGGTAGAAAGCTCTGAAAGCAAACTAGTACTACTCACCTAGGATTAAAGACTGCATGGGGGTCAGAGCAATAACCGTGTGTTTGTGTGTGTAGTGTAGTCCCACCTCCCTGTTCACTGGCCAACAGCTGCGCATGTGGTCGCTCAGGCATGCCATACCCTACTAAAATAAAACTAAACCTGTCTGCGGTGTGGAACTTTTACAAAGAGCGTGACACAGATGTAACATATGCCACCTGGAATGTATGCCAGGATAAAACACCTCGTGGGCGAGTTAAAAAGTTTCAGCACAACAAATTTAATAATAATAATAATAATAATCTTTATTTGTAGAGCACTTTTCAAAAACAAGTTACAAAGTGCTTTAACGAGTGTAAAGACAATAATACCCAAAAAACAATAATACAAAAACAGGCCCCTGATCGATCCGAACTCCATTCAGAAAACAAACATTTTAAAAGTTGCCTAACTGCTGACAGACCTGACAAAGCATGAATTCATATGTCTAACAAAACAGCATCATATTGTAGTTATTTCAGCATCAGTTTGATCCGTTTATTGCAATTAAATCACAGCAAAGGGTTTACTTTGGGTTCATATAGGCCTAGCGTCCACGGGCTGTGTTTATACACTCAAAATATCCAGCGGTCAGACTTGCACGAGTAAAGCAAGGCGAATATTAAATACTGACATCTGCTTAAATTGCAAAATTGTTGCTAAACTTGATGACATGACCACTGAGTGCAAGGTACAAGTTGTGAAGTGAAACTGAGGACCTAAAAAACAATTTTAAAAATGGTAAACAGAAATAAACTACATTCAGTGGAGCAGCGAGTGCTGAGGATGAATTTGAGTTTAAAAGTCTGATAGCTCTTGGGGAAAATATATTATTTGACAGTATCATGTCAATGGCAAAAATAAATAATGTTGTGATGAATGTTGTAATGTTGTGAAGTGGTGTGGTATAGATGTTGTGTGCTTTATTAGATTTGAAAGGCAAAATTAGGAGTTTTGAAAATTGAAAACTGAGCCAAAGCAATTAACCCATGAGCCCTTTAACCCTTCAATTTTCAGCTGCTTACCAGAGCAGTCAGGATTGAATGACCAGTGTTGCTTTTTCCAGAGGCCAATCAAAGTCAGAATATATTGATGTTTCTTTATTATTTCATTATTTAGAAATGCTATCAAATAAGCTTCCACTTTTATTACAACAGTACCTTAATCATAATGCATGTATATGCTAAGGCCACAGGTTTCCCAAACCCAATCCTTTTAGTATCTTAAGTGTAACCATACTAAACTGTAATTTCAATGTGAAGATACTGAAGGACTAATCAGCTGTGTATGTTTTGTGACTTTTAGTTACTGTTCTAAAGTGCTTTCAGTCACTTTAAAGACAGTGATGTCTTGGATCTCAAGTTTGTCAATCAAAACAATGCAATGTCTATGTGGTATGTGTGAAATTATTTAGGTATGTGCTCTCAACTCTGAACTAATCTATATGCAATCAACGCTTCAGAAATCAGTGACTTGAAAGGATTAACTATAGTATGATCTTGTTGAATGTTGTGACACGAGATGAAACAGCATTGGGTAGAGACATAGCTCAAACTGCATGTGTTAACGAAGCATGCACAAAAATGTGACGTCAGATGTGACTTTAATCATTTTGTCCCTGGGGTGGTTTGAGCTCTTTGATGTATATGTCCTTACATTATAGATGGATGCTTTCTAAAGGTTTGGTTGCTTATGTTCTTCGTAAAGTGTCTGTTTCCTCTGAACTCAAAGTTGTGCAAGAGTTTAGCAAGGTCTAAGCGTCAGAGAACTTTGCAGTATTAAGCAGTACTTGCCAATGTTGATAAAGAATCATGATAAAATGGTAAAATCCATTTAAACATTGCATTGTAGGCTGTGATATTGATCATTTTAGAATATATATCAGATGGTTTGGTTTACCTTACTACTTATGGATGTACTGTAACTTTCTGGCAGTACCACAAATGCTTCCAATGCATCCAAAATACAGGATACATATGAAATAGACTGGCTTGCCAATAATAAAACGAAATTAACAAAGAGGGGGAACATTTAATGTTTGATTTAATTAGATTTAAATATAGCTGATAAAATTTTCAGTGGGTAAGACATTATGGTATCTTGGTGGCATCTGTTCACCAGTCTCATTCATTTGAAAATAACAACCTATATCTGAAAGATAAGATATCAAGAATACTACATTATGCTTACACTGCAGGTTTTCCCTATAAAGTAGATTTTATCACAGCATACACCAAATTGAAGAAACGAGGAAAACCTGATTTGCTGAAGAACTGCTTAAGAGATGCATGTCGATATAGTAGAAAGGAGAAAATTGGACCAAACTTGGTCCTACATTTTGACTTGAAAGTGAGATGGTTAACAGCTGGAAATGTGAAAAATTAACTGTAAAGTGATGTAGTTTGGTTCAGACAGATGAGAAGTGCTTCACCCTGTGTTAGAGTGTAACAAAGTGTGTGAGAGGCAGAGAAGTGTGATTTATTGCAGTGCGTTATGCAGTTGTAGGAATCACTAATGAGGCAATCTGTATAGGCTATAGGTTTAATAATAACAACCTATGCTGTTGAAAAAACTCAAGCCTAGTTTTTGACACAAATAACACGCGACCTAATATTTACATCTACAAAATGTCTTGTGTATGTATGTTGTTGTCCATCACAAGTGTGATACACAACAACATACAGCAGAATCATAATTCTAACTTTACATTGGCTTCATGTGTCATTGATGCTGAGGAGCAACAATTATTGTTATTGCTGTAAACTGTAAGTGATGTATCAAAAAGGTCACTTTTTCCAAGAGAAGAACATTTTAAATATTTGAATTTGGAGTGTGCTATTGTCCACATCAAACTAATACAAATTCAACAAAAAGCACTATGCATGTATTTGAAGTCCTGGCAAAATATAAATTTAACATGCCATATTGTGCATTTTACCCACCCAGGTATCCTATTTTGTTATGTATACTGAGGAAAAAAAGGAAAGACATTTGTCTCAGTGGCCGAGTGCAGAGACCCCGGAAAGTAGGAGGTTGGACCCAGATGACAAGCAGGATGCAGTTCTTGTGATTTATTAAACAAAACTTTAACAAGCTTACATGGATTCATGGCATTCAAGTCAAAAAACAGAGGTTGCGTTCCATAAAAGTAACAAAATCCAAACAGGGCAGATGATTCAAATGGTATAACAAAATAATCCAAAGAACACATCTGACTGAACAGAACTGAGGCTATACTGACACAGGACAACACACACCAGGCAGGCAGGGTAATCAAGCACAGGTGGAGAGTCATTGGTGCAATCAGGGCAGACACAGACAAGAAGCAGAGTCTAGCAGACTAAATACAGAACAAATGCAGAAAACTCGACCAGAAAATAAAATCACAACAGGCTAAACCAGCAGTCGGCAAATAATTCTGGTATTGGGCCAAATTTTTCTCAAGCTGTTACATGGCGGGCCAGAACAAAGTCAATTTATTTCAAACCCTTGGATATTTGTGTGCTCAGTTGGTTCAATTCCAAAACCCTGCAGACTTTTTCCCCCCTCCCTTGTTAAATAAATTGTTTAGCCTATAAGGACGCTTTTGCATTATGCTCACAGTAAAGCATGTGCTGCAGTGTGTGCGCGCCCCGCCGTTTGATCCGCATTCATAAATCCATGGACGCTTATTTTCATTTCCATTTCAGAGGAATCCAATCACGTTTACTGACGGCTTTTTCAGAGGTGTCAAGCAAGCCAGAGACTCTTTTGAATGTCCTTCAGAACTTTTCAAAGTATAAGCTTGTAATAAACTCAAAATAAAGCATTGCTGCAAAAAACATTTGTACTTTTATTTTGTAGGTACAATCACTTAAGAGGAAGTGATAATGTGAGTAACTGTAGGTGTCATAACAGATCTATTTCAACACCAGCCGCTATTAAAACAATCTGGCCGTGGCCAGTTCCGGCCCACAGGCTGCCCATTGCCAACCACTGGGCTAAACCAATAACACAGGGAATAATAAAACTGAAAACCTTGAAGCCTTAAAGACCGTAACAGACTATAAGAATGGTTTGTTGCTGAGTTCAGACATACAATTGCTATGTATATTAGGAAGGTGCTTAGCCCATTGTTTTCCTTAATAATGCTTCTATGATAAATACATGTAGTTGTATCTCTTTGGAAACTAAATCTAACTTTGTGCAGTGTAATTATTCTTCAAACATTATTGTGTTAAGTGTTTGGAATTCAAGGACAGTGCCTGCACTTCACTTGGAGCACTTTTATTTTAAGCTCACTTGTTGCCATCTGTCTTTGTTTACATCTTGCTCTCACCAAATACATAATTCTAACCTTGATTGTGTTCAACAAATTGGAATCAAGGAAATGTGATGTTTAAATGACAAAGAA